TCGCTTTGCCTCAACAATCAACAACACTGACGATCGACAAAGTTAGGAGGAAAAAGACTGTCTGTATGCAAGTCGATCAGTTCGTCAGCCACATGATTCGCATAACTCACGTCCCCGCGATATCGGAATCGCATACTTTCTGAATCTCATTTTCTCAATGCGGTCGTACGAGCACTACTTCAGAGTCGGTACTAGGGTCGAATGCGCCTTGCTTTTTTTCTAAGGAACATTCTGTTCACTCTCTGAAAATGAGAAGAAACAAATTAATCCGCTGTCAGGTGGTCTCGTCCATGACAAAATATATGCTAACTCAAGACCAAAGAAGCGGAATCAATTCAAACACGTATAATGAAGAGCTTTGTTGGGTTTTGGCTTTCTGCAGTGCAAACGTTGTCGTCAGTTTTCTGAAATAAATATGATTCACCATTAAAGTGCCATAGCACAATGCTGGCTAAGTATAAGTGGTTGTATGAATGGCTATAAAGGCAGCCAAAAGACCAATATCAAAGTCTTTATTGTATTGCCAATATTTCAGTCATCACAGGTCATCTTCATTGCAAATCTTGAGCTATTGGAGACCAAAAGCCTTTTGTAACGCAGTTTCGGCTTTCATTAATCTCATCATTGGCATGAGAATGGCTAATGTTGCTTGTCCGAAACGTTCGCTGTGAGATACACCTTAACATCAGCCTTTTGGCTACGTCCATAAACGGCTGAATCCGTACCACTTCTGCTGACAAAGAAGACTTAGAATCCAGATCAGTTTTAGACACATAATCGTTTCCTTATTGGTGCTTCTTTCCATCTTTTTACGAAGTGAATAAACTAGTCAGGTTAGATAAAGGAGGACGAACGGAAGCATTTACATTCAATTCACCTTTGGCGTTATGACATCATTGAAACTGTTGTTTGTTGTTAATTTCTTATTTACTGTGGATCGACACCAGACCATACAGTATGTAAGCTCCGACTGGCGCTCCAAAGTTGGACGGTAGTTTAACTCACATCGATTTTGGAGGAAATCATCCAATAAGCAATCGGTGACTTGGAAATCTGTACACTTCCAATCGACAGCTATAGGTAACTCCAGCGATGTGGCCGAAGAAAAAAATGTCAAAACAGTGTCGCCATTACTCAGTTCATGACGATCATCGGTGAGTTTGAGGTAGACTCTTCTGGAGACCTATTTTCTTGCAACGTTCTGGGAAGAATGATACATGAGTTCAGATCGGACTTCGCCCAGCAATGCAGCCTTCAAAACTGCGTATTCCTGCACCAACCTAATTTTCATTCTTCATGAGCAATGGTGGTGAGATTCAGATCTCAACACGATATGTCATCAACTTCAGAGATACACTGTTCGTACAACAGTATTGAAGTTCTTAGAATGCTATGAAATATCTGAAAAATCGTTTATATCTTCGAAGAAACCATGCCTGCTAGCACAGTCGTCGGACAGCTACAATGGATTATGAATTAGGCAGATGTACTTTCGCCTTTGCTGGTCAACGTTATTCTTGACTTTCTACTTCGAAATTGTGCTGACTTGAAAAAAGACGAAGGGTTCAGTCTAAAAATACGGCACAGTTGGTGATATCCGGTCAGTCATCATGCTAGCCCGAATTAAACATATTGTTGTGATGAATTGCATGAGAAGCGAACTTCGCCACCAGCTGGCATCTGTAAGTGACACGTGCAAAAGCCAATCATTTCGTTAACGCACAGAGTGACCCATCAGAAACAGCAGTTTCGCAAGTACAGGCAGGTAGGTAGGTGAAGCAGTAGTGGATGTGGACCGGTTCGATTATCTCCGTTAATCAGGAGGAATATTTTTCACTTTCGTTGGCCACAGAAGTTTCCGCACATGTTCACCCGTATCCTATTTGGGTGTTGTTGGGAGGGAATGAAACCTGCCACTCCTATAAGGCCGAAGAATGATGGCTAAATGGCGTACCTCAGCCATGACTTTGACTGCTAATGTGGGCTAAATGACAGATGCCTGTATAAGATGAGTATTTTCTTTCCCGGACACGTGTTCTCTGTAAACACAGTGATTAAGGAAAAGTGGTTGATCCCAGTGACAACCTTTAGGGGTACAAAGCCTTAATCCCACTCCGTGAGCCTATTATGATGTTACCGAAAAATGCCATTGACCGACAGGTGCCTGGATACCAAATGGGTGAATATTAAGGGATCCGATTTACGTTCTGAATGGAATAGTCTACAGCTATGTAGCTCATGTTTTACAATATCATTACCGGAAAGCTGAGAATACAGCGAACGTTACAAACGGGTAATGTTCCGTCTAATACCATTGGTTCTGGGTGATAACTGCTAGAAGCATGTATGGAGTACTTTTCTCGAGCAAGAGAACTAAAAGCGAGACGTATAGACAAATTTCAATTATTAATAACGAATTTGCGCAGCGTAAGCGCACAATCCATTTGTTTAGCGACTTCATGGAGGAATATTTAAGCACGATAGTACTTAAGCAGCTGTAATGCATCGGATGCATAATTGCATCTCTGAGCTGGTCCGAACAGGGCGTGTTCGAGCAGCAGCTAATTTTTCCACTCTCTGTAGGAAAATAAAAACAGAACACAACCCCAATGTTCTCGGGTAGCAACTGCAAATGATGGCTTTGCAATTCCGCCTGTAATTATTAAACATGAATATGCTGCTTTGTAAAGTTCGTGTGAAGCTGAACGTTTAAATTCCGGGGTTAGTAAATGAACCTCTGCGCCAATGCCGTTAGCTGCACGATAACTCGGAATTCGGGATCACGTTCATAGAAGAATCGTACTCCAGCGAAGGAGTAGACAAAATTGTTCTTGAAAGTCGAGTCACGAACCCATCATGTTGTAGTAAAATAAAATTGAATAAAATGATTTCCAATGAGCTCAGCGTGAGAAAGCGCGCGGCTAGCCTCCAATTTCGTTTCATCTGCAAATAAATCAAATCCGGCGCGAAAGCATCCAGTTGCTGTCACATCTGCGAATATGAAACTCTGCCTAATGCCAATCATAGAAATTGCTCAACGCCGGAATGACGCTGGATGTGACGGAAATCGAAGACGCTTAATAACTACGGTTTTGTTCGGTCAATCGATTTTCTGAGCATTAACCTCAGTGGATCACCAAATTCACCAAAACGTCGGATACGGTATTTCCGTATGAATCCTTGACTTCTTTTGGACTGTCTGCAGTATTGCTTGTATAGCAGATTGCAGCTAGGCAGTTAGGTGTCGACTGTTTTAGAGGAATACTCTCTTGTAGTAGAGAGAGGGGGGTTCTGGTTACAGCTGCTCGAGATGCAAGATGGCGATGCTACTCTGGCGTGCCTTGATCAGGATCCTTTAGTCTGCCTAATCCACTACGACAACGTAGCATAGTGAAGAGACGCTCTGGTGGTTCCTCAATATTATCTGCGCTTCCTGCGGATTGTCGACGATGATCAGTCGATTATGGGCCTAATTAATAATATATGAACATGCATCGGGGCTGAGTATGTCCTGTAGCGGTACGGCCACCATCGAATGGGTGTAGCAAGCTTGTATGGCGATGATCCACTGCATTCAAGGGTGACAGAAGACATAGATGAGACATTCTTGAACAGACTGCACATACAACCGAAGGAAACTAATGATCAACTTGGTCGCTCTGCGAGTGACGTCATTGTTCTAGATCCACACGTAGACGATGCCTTGACCTTACTGTGATTTCCTCTCCTACACCTCGTCGATTAGTTTTTGCTAGAGGCGAATGGCTGCACGTCACACCGGGAAAGCAAACGGTGACGCGTCTCCGTTGCCGTTGCCGCAAGCACATCTGGAAGTCGCAACTTGGTCGCAGGGAAGTGATATTTTCCGCGTATAAGCCGCCAAACATGAAGGTTTTCATTCGATACGCCATGACGTGTTTTTCTAGCGTCCGGATTCATTGAGCAGCGGATTCAGCGTGGAAGTACGCTTCAGCATGTAATTAGTCAAGAAACCGATGACGTGCAAACAGTTCAGACACAGTGAACCCTGATCTGCTGATGTCAACGCCGGTGTAACTTCAGCTATGTGATTCACTGCTTAAGGAAAGCTGCCGTGTCTTTTATTTCATCCCATGACTGATTCTTCAGCTAGGACGAGCAGATGTGAAATCCATCATGTAGAAGGTTAGATATCAGGCTCACCCGGCCTTGTTTCCTATTTTCTGTCGCATAAAAAGACTCTAAGAACTTAAAATTTTAGCTGCAACCCGGGGCCAGTCGCGCTCGTTCCTTCACATAGGCGTAAAACGTATCGCGGCTTGCGTCTGGCCGCTGTCGCAGGATTGTGACTCCTTCATCACTTACATTATACTTATGGAGAAGATATGCGCCACTCTAATATGCCTTGGTGAA